TGACTGGGTGGGAGCAGGGGCAGGAGCTGTGGTCCATGCTCACTGCACAGATTCTAAGAAGGTTAGCCTGTCTGACCAATTGACACTGAATGAGCCGTGGGCACAGGAGCTTCCTAATGTTCACTTAATCTACACCCAAGGAACCACCAAACTCCCCCCCGCAACACAAAACCACTCAGTCTAGAAACATAAACACTGAATAGAAGGGGCTAAATTAGGAATATGGGTTGTTTAGAGTTCTTCACATTTAAATGTTTTGTTTAAAAGTCACCATTAAGTAGGTTTAAGAGGTGTTCGTAGACATTAGTGGGGAGGGGAAGTAAACAGCAGGTCGATGCTAGAACAGCTGATAGATGGATAGCATTACCCCAAATGTCACTGTATCTGAGAGAGGGGGCCCCTCTGTGCTCTGGATCATTGCCCATTGAAACCCTACCCCAGGACCTTCAGGACAACACGAGGCTGATCTCCAACTACAGCACCGAGGGTGGGGTCATACTGTCGGTGAGGTCTGTCTCTCATCCCCTGCCTGCTCTCCGGGGAATCCTATCACCACTACCCCAAAGAGGTACCGGCAAATTCAGCCCAGGTTCCTGGCCAACATCTTCCCTGCTCTCCCCCGACAACTCCCCCATCCCGTCACTCAAGTCTGGTCATTATCACATTACTGGTTACGGGAGCTTGCTGTGCACAGATTGACATCAGCACCTCCTTCAGCTGTGATCACACATCCACAGCTACCTCACCAGCAGTGAAATGTTGGGGGGTGCCCTGACATGGTGACGGGCACTACAGAAATGCAGTTCTTGTGGTTGTTTCCTTATTACGGTGGAGTCAGGTCACTGGAGGTGCAGTGTTTAACGTGTGGTTGATGGTCATCCTGAAAAAGGTATTTCAGTCCCAGCACAAAATATAAAATTACAAGCACATTACCCAACAGAAGCTGGGGGCTAGCAAGAATCAAACATTGATTAGTACCAATGGCTCTGTTACAGAATTTATAACCAACTGAAACTGTTTCAGCTAACATCAGGAAACAAGGTCAGAAACCAAGCAGAACATAAATGTCTCATTGCTCCCCTTACCGCTGGCTTCCTGCTGTCTTTCAGGACAGTTTTCCTTCTCAGCACACTTTCCATAGTTGTTGCCCCTCCGTCAGGATGCAGCATGGCTCTAGGTTGAGTAAAGTTGGGATCAATTATTCCAGTAATGTGAATTTCACAACTCCTCATCACTCTCCATGTTCAAATACTCCATTAGTTACTGCTTCTGTGATGAGAGAGCCTCTCCATTTCTGGCACCGTTACGGACGTGGGGATAGAAAGGGAACTGAGGATTCCCTCCCAGCTCTTTTCCCCAAGACCAGGATACAATCCCACAGCTCTGCCAGTGTCCGATGCCTTGCCCTGACGGGAGGTTATGCAAGTCTCACTGTGCTCAGTCACAGGAGATGAGGCTCCAGTTTCCTCCCAAAGATGTGCAGTGTTAGGTGGATTGGTCATGGGAAATATGGGCTTACTGAGATTGGAAGGGATGCTCTTTGCAGAGTTGGTGCAGACCTGATGGGACGAATGACCTCTTTGTCAGGATTCTATGATTCAACCCCACCTGTATATACAAACACTTCCTAACAAGAATCACCAGACAGCGATATAACAAGGTGTAGAGCTGGATGAACGCAGCAGGCCAAGCAGCAGAGGAGCAGAAAAGCTGACATTTCTCCAGCAATGGCAGTTCCCACTATCTCTGTAACAATTTTAACCTCACCAGACAGCGATATTTGTTTCTAAACCCCTTCCTCTCCCAGATATTACAGAATATGATGGCAATATTTTTGTCACTATTCCAGCTATTTGCTAACAGCCTATTCAAACATGAGAGGCTTCACCTGTCAGCCTCACGCCCCACTCCCACTCCATCCTATATCTGACACCTACACACCGTGTTCTAAGCAGTTGGAGGACAGTCCGAGCTGCGACACACAGGAGCTCTCAGCGTAATCCTGGTGCTGCAATAGGAGAGTGGGACACCAGAACTCCCTATGCTACCTGGGGTGGGTACTGAGTAACTGATGGTGCTGGTAGGGGTGGTGTTCACTATCGGACAGTGCGGGGTGTGGTGGGTGCTGACTATCCGATGGTGGGGGAAGGAGTGGGGTGGTGTACGTACCCGATCGGGCTCCTCAGAGGGTTCCACATTGACCTTGTCACACGGCCCAGGGAGCAGTAGAACCCACTGTTGCTGTGGAAATAAAGTAAAACAGATCCCAATTAACACCTGCGCAGTTGGGTTGGGGGTTACAGGAAGAGGAGGAGGCCATTCAACACTTCCAGCCTGTTCTCACTTTTCAATAACATTGTCAGTTATTTGCAGCCAGTTACCATGGCTCCATGAACCCTACAACTGCACAGAGAGTAGAACCTGAGCATTTAAAAACTATTAAATGATTGATTTAGCATTGATTTCCTTTCTTAAAAAAGGAAGGGTCACTGTACCCGAAACGTTAACTCTGTTTTCTCCTTCACAGATGCTGCCAGACCTGCTGAGCTTTTCCAGCAACTTTGTTTTTGTTCCTGATTTCCTTTCTGTCTGAGTGTTTCCTCACTTTTGTTCCCATCAGCCCATTTTTGATTAGTGCCCCCCTTATCCTAACCCTTCACCAGTGGACAAATCTTTTGAATTACCCTGTCAATTCTTTCCAAAATCCTAAAAGACTCTCAATCAATCCTGAGATGGTTCAGGGGTGGTCTGAGCTGGGTGTAGATCACTGAAGGTGGCAGGATGGGGTCAGGGAAGAGAGCAGTAAGTATAAAGTGTTTAGGGTCCTTGGTTTATTAGAAGGACAGAGAGTACAAGAGCAGGGAGGTGACGTTGACCTTGTACAAGGCGTGTTAGACCTCAGCTGGAGTATTATGTACATGATGCCCAGAAAGGATGCAAACCCATTGGAGTGAGAGAGGGAGAGAGATTTCCAGGGATGAGAAACTTCAGTGACAGGGTTAGAGAAGTCATGGCTGTTTTCCTGGGACAGAAGGTGGTTGATCGGAGATTTCACAGAGGTTTTCAAAAGCATGAGTGCGCTGGATAGAGCAGCTAGGAAGACACTGGACCCACTCTTGTAAAGATTGAGAACGAGAGATTTTAAAAAGTGATGTGGCTCAGAAAAACACCTTGCCACATAGCAAGCGGTTTGGGTCTAGAATGTGTTGCCCAAGAGAGAGGTCAAGGCAGGTTTGATTGAGGTATTCAGAAGGGAGTTAGGTGGTTACTTGAACAGCAACAGGTTTACAGGGAGGGGGCAGGAAAATGGCACTAAATAAGATACTCATTTGGAGAGTTGGCATAGCCCAGATAGGCAGACTGACCTCATTCTGCATCATAAAACATCCACCTGTGATATTACCCCCTCACCTCCTGTACTCCTGGCAATGTGAATATAGTTTATGTTAAGCTCGCAATGCACGGGGGTTCAGAGCAGGGAGTCCAAATATTCACTTTTCTCTGCTTAAAGAGAGTTTCAACCAGCTGTAATTTGTTTGTCTGTCTCACCGTTCAAAAGATGAACAGGGTTTTCTCTCTCCAACGTCACAGCTTTCTTCCTGGGAGGCTGTGAACAAGAAACTAAAATGAATCATTGATCCCCTCACACTACCCTGAACCCTGGCTCAGGTTAGGTAGGTTCAGCAAGGACTGGGGAAGGGAGGAGACAGTAAAAGTGTAAGAGTGTGTGAAATGTAAATGCTCCATTGCTGTGGGGGTGACAAACAACATTGGTTCTTTGTGAAGGGCTCACAAACACACAGACACCACAGTGCGCTGCACAACACTAGGATGTGTAACCACTGAAGACACTGGTCCTGTTCTGCAAGGTGGCGGGTAATTGTGCACAGCAAGCTCCAACAAGCAGCAATGCGATAATGTCCGAGATCAGCTGAAAGTGACGATGGCCAATAACCAAACAAAAATTTTAAAAAACCACCCAACTGACCCCCACCCCGCATCAGGAGGTTACAAAAACAAGTTCCAAAGCCTTCAGCTCATTATCTGAATCGACCCCCTCCCAGCCTCTGGTGCAGCTCGGCGAGTGGGGGTGGAGGGGGAAGGATCAGGGGTACGATCCTTCAGGTGAGATTTTAAACCCCCAAGGCCACGGTCATTGGTCGAACAGGAGCAGGAGAGGAGAGGTCACCACAGGGTTCTGCTTAACATTTAGTCCTCAAACCAACGTCAACTGAGTAGATTCTCTACTCGGGATCTTGCTGTGCGCAGACTGGCTGCTGGTTTCCGTACCTACAACAGCGCCTGAACCTCATTGGCTGTGAAGTGCTGTGGGACATTGAGAGTTTGTTCAGATCTAAACAGGGCTTCCCAAACTCCACCGCCCCCCCAACCCCGGTGTGACCCCCATCTCAACATCACAGACTTAGAGACCCAAGAACGTTAGAAGCGTTCTGCTGAGCATGTCGCAAGGTCTTTAAACTCCAGGGATTCTTAAAAAAAAATCTCTTCACAGCCACAGATTCACCCAACAAGCCCCACACCTACCACCAGTGAGAAAACAGTGAGCAGGGGAAAGGCCACACAGTGTTGGCACTGTGTCAGAGCACCACAGCAGAAGCTCACAAATTCCCATGCCCACCACCATAGCGTACCCACCTCCACCAACTGGGGGTCTCCAATAACCCCCTCCCTTTGGGAAACCCCAAGCATCAGAAAGAGGCCAAGTCTGGTTGGGTGGTAAATGGTGCCATATCTGCCAGTGGGTGGTGTTTGACCTGGAGAGCACTCGTGGGTAGACTCACCCCTCGCCTGCATCACCCACGATGCATCACCTTCCATCTCACTGTCATCGAGGAGATACCGAGGCCAAGAGCCAGGAAACGTGGCACTTCTGTGATTGCTGGTGTTTGTCTGTCCAGCTCTGTCAATATACAATAGTGGACAAGAGAGAGTGTGGGGTGGGTTTGGGGGTAAAAACAGAGAGAAGCAGCGAAGGCATTTAATCTGCAGCTGTAAGTAAAACCAAAACCATCCCCTGACCCTTCTCTCCAACCACACGGATCCAAATCCACGGGCCTCTTTAATCAGCAACACTCCCTCCAACCCCAGAGACACTCACCTACAGGTAAAACAATAACCATTCTCTCAGAGCGTTCGAATGCTGCCTCAGCTCGGGTCAGCACATGCCAACCCTCTGCCACGATCTGATTTTCAACTGGGACTTCCCAAATGTCACAGGGACTGACAACAGGAAGACACATAGAGGGCTCACTCTCCACAGGCCAACAGGCCAGTAACCCCCACTTCCACCAACACACATGGTCTCTCCTCACATTTTCCTCCCACCAACAGGGAGGGTCTCTCTGTCCACCATGCGCCCCCCACCTCCCACGAACCCCCCCCACCCCCGCTTCACACTGCCCAGTGTGGGGAAAGCAACTGGGACGAGATGCTGTTGGTATCTGTTCACTGTCTCCCAACGATGAAAACAGAAATATGTCCCAAAAGCGTTACCACAACACACCATCATTAAAGTGGAGGGTTTGGTGTCTCTCTTGCCCAGAGACAGACTGTGGCACGTTCGAAGGGAATCCAGGGTCTGTTCTGGTTTTGTTGCTGGGAGAATATCCTGGCTGCGTTGGTCACGGAGCAATGGTGATGTGTCACTAACCTCTAACATCCCACAGCCCTGTCCATCCACCTCACAGAGGAGATTATAAACAGATACCTGATTGGGACCATCACTCACTTGTAATCAACACTCCGCCATCTTCGGTGCCCTCGCGTTAAACACAGATATGTGACCGAGGCATCACCATGACAAGGTTTCGTTTCCTCACTGGCGGAGAGGGAGCCTGAGGAACAGGAAGACACAGAACCCTTTACAGTCTGTTCCATGGTTAAAGCCTGGGCCGGATGTCTGCTCAATATACTCGCAGAATTTCAAAACAAAATACTTCACAACACAAATCAACATTTCTCCTACCTGCTGAGCATCACTTAGAAGGCCAGCATTTATTGCCTAGAGGGCAATTAAGAGTCAATCACACTGATGCTGGCCTGGAGTCACATGTAGCTCAGACCAGGTCAGGGTGATGGGTCTCCTTCCATAAAAGGGCATCAGCTACAGACATGGTTTTATAGTTAACACCCAATGCCCTACACGACATGAGGAGATCTGACCAGATGGAGAACGAGATCCCCCCACCACCCCACCACCCCCCCCCCCCCCCCCCAAAAATGCCCAAGGTCACAATCAGTGCCCAGGACCCCAGCGGACGCACCCAGTTAGCTTCTGGAATGGCAGACCACCCACTCGGATCCCGGGCCTGAGAAGAAGCAGACACCTTACCGGGAAATGGGGGAGACACTGTAGCCTACAGGGGAGACTGAAACAATGCAGTTTCAAGTCCAGAGAAGCTCGCCTTGCAATCCATTAAACAAAGTGCAAAAAGTGTTTAACCTATCTCTCAACGTTTCTTCCCCACCAATCTGTTATAAAGGAGTGGTTAAATGAAAGAGATTCTGATACTCACTTTATAATCAACAAGTAATAATGCATTCATCTAACTCTTACAATAAACAAATTAACAGAACTACAAGCAAACCAAACAATTCCCCCTTAACTATTAAATATTTCCAAATAAAACAAAATTCTAATGGTATGCTGTTCCAATTGGTATACGTCCCACTTATATAACCCAACTTAATAAAAAATAAATTCAAACTTAGTCTCTCAAAATTACAGCCAGGATAAGTCTTTCAGAATGCTCCGTACCCTTGCCACTGATCGTCAGTCAGGAACGCCTTTCTCCATTGAATCTGTGTCAGGAATATTAGCTAAGAGTGCCATTATACCTTTAGTTTAGATGATGGTTTTCTGAGAGCTTAGAGAATTCCATGAGAGTCAGTGATTCTCTCTTTTACAGCCAAGAGCGGTTCTCTTGGCAGATGAGAGTTGACTCTCGCACCGATTTTCAAATGCCCTCTTCTTTTATAACCTTGATGACCCATCAATTCCTTACAATAGGTTGGGTCCTAGGTTGTCAAAACCATCAAATTTAAAATTAATTGGGTTTTAGTATCCAGGACCTGGTTTAAATTATTTGGCCAAATTCAAAAACTGTTGTCTTGATAAAAATGCTGCTTTGCCTGCTAACAGTAAGCCTTTTGATATAATGTTTCAATGTGAAGAACTCTCTATGCATCTGCTGCTGCCTGCATACATTTTTTTAGGCTTGGAGATTAAAAAGCAATCTTTTAGAAGGGACCATGCACTCTTTCCCCCCACTACCACTTTACAAGCAGCAAATACTCTACCCAACTTCGCAGTGTGCCTTAATGACACATACCTGGTGGCTCTGACATCCATCTTTATGAAGTGCTTCATGAGGTTAGTAATGGCACATTATCAACTCCAGTCTCCCAGATTGTCCTGATCTTCTACAATTCGCCTACTGTCACAATAGGCCCTTCACTCACTCCTGAAACATCTGGATGGCAAGGATACCCATGTCAGACTCTTAGTTATTGACTTTAGCTCTGCCTTCAACACCATACTTCCAACAAAAGTCACCTTCAAACTCCAAGACCTAGGACTCTGCTCCCTGCTGTGCAAATGGATCCATGACTCTCTGACCCGCAGACCGCAATCAGTAAGGATAGGTGACAATACCACCTCCACAATAATCCTCAACATCAGTGCCCTGCAAGGCTGCGTACTCAGCCCTTTACAATAGTCCCTATACGTTCACAACTCAGGCCAAATTCAGCTCTTACCCCATTTACAAATTTGCTGACGATACCACTGTAGTGGATAGGATCTCAAACAGTAGAGTTCAGGAAAGAGATAGACAGTTTAGTAGCATAGTGTAAAGACCCATAATCTTTCCCTCAATGTCAGTAAAACAAAGGAGTTTGTCATCTTCAGGAGGTGGAGTAGAGGACACACCGCTGTCTGTATCAATAGTGCCAAGAGGGAGGTGGTCATAGAATCCTTACAGTGTGGAAACAGGCCATTTGGCCCAATAAGTCCACACCAACCCTCCAAAGAGCATCCACCTTGACTCACCACCCCACCTTCCTTATCCCTATAATCCTTCATTTCCCATGGCTAATCCACCCTAACCTGCACATCTTTGGACTGTGGGAAGAAACCAGAGCATCCGGAGGAAACCCATGCAGACACAGGGAGAACGTCTGTGTGGAGTTTGCACAGTCACCCAAGGCTGGAATTGAACCTGGATCCCTGGCATTCTGAGGCAGCAGTGCCACCATGGTTGACAACTTCATGTACCAAGGAGTAAATATCACCAATCTATCCTGGTCCATCCACATTGACACTACAGTTAGGAAAGCCCACCCCAATGCCTCTACTTCCTCAGGAGGCTAAGGAAATTCAGCATGTCCACAATGACTCTTACCAACTTTTATGGATGCACCACAGAAAGCACCCTGAGATAACAAGGCGTAGAGCTGGATGAACACAGCAGGCCAAGCAGCAGAAAGGCTGACATTTCGGGTCTGGGCCCTTCTTCAGAAATGGGGGGAGGGGAAGGGGATTCTGAAATAAAGAGAGAGAGAGGGGGAGGCGATCATAGAAGGTGGAGAGGAGACAGATAGGTCAAGGAGGCGGGGATGGAGTCAGTAAAGGTGAGTGTAGGTGGGGAGTTAGGATGGGGGTTGGTCAGTCAAGGGAAGACAGACAGGTCAAGGAGGTGGGGATGATGCTGGTCCCTCCCTCTCCGTGACTCCCTTGTCCGCTCCACACACCCCTCCAGCCCCACCACCCCCAGCACTTTTCCCTGCAACCGCAGGAAGTGCTACACCTGCCCCCATACCTCCCGCCTGACCCCCATCCCAGACCCTAAGAAGACCTTCCACATCAAACAGATGTTCACCTGCACATCTGCTAATGTGGTATACTGCATCCGCTGTACCCGTTGTGGCCTCCTCTACATCGGAAAAACCAAGGTGAGGCTTGGGGACCGCTTTGCGGAACACCTACGCTCGGTTCGCAATAAACAACTGCACCTCCCAGTCGCAAACCATTTCAACTCCCCCTCCCACTCCTTGGACGACATGTCCATCCTGGGCCTCCTCCAGTGCCACAATGATGCCACCCGAAAGCTGGAGGAACAGCACCTCATATTCCACTTGGGAACACTGCAGCCCAATGGTCTCAATGTGGACTTCACAAGTTTCAAAATCTCCCCAACCCCGACCTCATCCCAAAACCAGCCCAGCTCGTCCCTGCCTCCTTGACCTGTCCGTCTTTTCTCCCACCTGTCCGCTCCTCCCACTTCACTGACCAATCCCCACCCCCATCCCCACCTTGACCCCCATTCTAACTCCCCACCTACACTCACCTTTACTGGCTCCATCCCCGCCTCCTTGACCTGTCCATCTCCTCTTCACCTATCTGCTCCTTTATCCATCTTCCATCCGCTTCCCCCTCTCCGCCCCACTTATTTCAGAGCCCCCTTCCTCTCCCCTATTTCTGAAGAAGTGTCCAGACCCGAAACATCAGCTTTCCTGCTCCTCTGATGCTGCTTGGCCTGCTGTGTTCATCCAGCTCTACACCTTGTTATCTCAGATTCTCCAGCATTGGCAGTTCCTACAATCTCATAGAAAGCACCCTATCTGGACGTATCACAGTGTGGTTTGGTAACTGCTCTGCCCAAGACCGCAAGAAACTACAGAGAGTTGTGAACACATCCCAGTCCATCACAAACTCCAACTTTCCTTCCATGGACTCTCTCTATACTTCCCACTGCCTTGGGAAAGCGACCAATATAATCAAAGACCCCCCCACCCCAGTTATACTCTCCTCTACCACCTTTTCATTGAGCAGCAGATACAAACATTTGAAAACATATACCAGATTTGAGAACAGTTTCTTCCCCGCTGTTATCAGACTTATGAATGGACCTCTCATATTAGAGTTGACTTTTCTCTGCGCCTGCTCTGTAGCTGTAACAGGGTCCCGACCTGAAACGTCAGCCTTCCTGCTCCTCTGATGCTGCCTGGCCTGCTGTGTTCCTCCAGCTTCACACTGTTATCTCAGACTCCAGCATCAGCAGTTCTTACTAACACTATATTCTGCATTCTGTTCTATTACCGCGATGTACTTATGTGAGGAATTATTTGTCTGGTTAGCATGAAAAACAATACTTTTCACTGTACTCTGGTATATGTGACAATAATAAATCAAATTAAACAATGATGGTTAGCACAGTCACCATCATGAAGACTAGCCCAGATTTTTGAACTGAATTTAGATTCCACTAGGTGTCCCCAGAACATGAGCCTGTATGTCTGGATAACTAGTCCACAGACAGAAACACCACACACGGTCTCTCGATCAATCAACTTCAGCCTCTGAGAATTGTCAGTTTGTTAATAGGTTTATGGCAGGATTTGAAGAATAGTCTCACCTCGAGAGTCTCTCGTGGAAACCGGATGCTGAGCACATGTTGCAGGTTGGATCTTCAGAGACAGTCTGTAGAAAGATACCAAAACACAAAACTTTTAGGGCTCCATGAACAGTTAAAACAATGCATTAATCTGGAAATTATTCACCCTTCAGTAAGTCACTGTGAACAGGTGGATACAAATAGAACACTTTCCATCTGAAATACTGATAGCCTCAATGTACAGTTAGACACAGAGTGAAACTCACTCAATTCACTCCAAATTCCTCGATTTAACACATTCACTCCCTCCAGTTACTGGCATCCTCACCCTGCCTCTCCCACATCATCTCAGAATCACAGAATCCGTTGTGTGGAAAGAGGCCATTTGGCCCATTGGGTCTGCACTGACCCTCCAAACAGCATCACACACAGCTACCCTATCCCTGTACTTCCCATGGCCAATCCACCTAACCTGCACATCTTTGGACTGTGGGAGGAAACCAGAGCACCCAGAGGAAACCCACACAGACACAGGGAGAATGTGCAAACTTCACACAAATCCCTGGCACTGTGAGGCAGCAGTGCTAACCACTGAGCCACCGTGCCACCCCCATGTTCTATTTTTACGAACATAATCCATATCCCAGTCCTCTCCCTAATTCAGTTTGGGTAACGGAGCGTTCTGAAGCACAGCCAGCATTCCCATCAGCAAAGTTTCATTCCTTTCCTGATTGAGAAAAAGTAAAAGCTGACCTTTTGGATAATTTCCTCACTGAAAGCACAGCCGAGTGCAGAACTAACCTGTAGTTGTCCTGCTCCAAGAATCCCTGCAGTTCCTCAATGTATCTCTGGGAATTCAGGTATTTCTCCACATGAGGCAATGTTGGAAGATCTGCAAATCATCCAAGTCAGACCGTGAGGAGGAAATGTGAGAGACAGCAGGAGAGACGGAGAGAGGCAAGAACGCTAACACACTCCCACCCTCACTCGAAGTGTCAATGAATCCATCAGACATAGCCAACAATTTGTTTACTGATTTGCCAATTTGATCACAACACAGTGTGATTAGTGAGAGTGTCTAAAGTTGCAATGAGCTCACTTCTCATCAGTGCCACCAGACCCATTAAAAACAGATGCTCTGTCATGAAGCAGAGCTAATGTCAATGGTGAGTAACTCAGAGGCCTGGAATTCAATTCCCAGCAGGGCAGCTGGCGCAATTTAAACTCCATTAATAAATCCAGAATTGAAAGCTCACTTCAGGGAAAACTGAGGGAGAAGAAACACTATCTGGTTCACTAATATGAAGCTTTTACTCGCTGGAAACTTGATTAAAACATACAAGATTCTCAGCAGCTTGAAAGGGTAGATGCAGAGAAATCATTTCCCCTTGTGATGGAGTCCATGACCAGTGGGAATAATCTCAGAGTAAGGAGTTACAGTAGAGATGGAGAGGACTTTTCTTGTTTAAGTGACAAGTGAATCTGGGGAATTTTTTGCTGTAGAGGGCTGTTGAGGCTGGGTCACTAAGTATATGCAAGGCTGAGATAGATATTTTTAATCAGCGAGGGAATCAGGGATTACAGGGAAAAAGGCAGGAAAGTGAGGATGATCAAATCAGCTGTGATTCCAGAATAGGAGAGCATTATCGATGGGCTGAATGGCCTACTTTCTGCTCCTAAGTCTATGGTCACTGCTGGATATTGTAACCGGCTGTCACTGCAGGGTGTCAAATACTTCAGCTGCCTCTCCCGATTTAAATGGACTCCATTCTATGAAAGGATCTCTTCTGGACCAGCAGGTGGACTTTACTGAGAAAGACGCAAAAAGTTAAAAACAGCCCACAGTCTCAGTTTACCCAAAGGAGGACAAAATCCGAAGTCACATGACACCAGGTAATAATCCAACAGGTTTACTTGAAATCACAAGCTTTTGGAGCGCTGCTCCTTCATCAGGTGAAAGCTTGTGACTGCAAATAAACCTGTTGGACTATAACCTTGTGTCGTGTGACTTTCTGACTTTATCAACCACACTCCAACACCAGCACCTCCACAACAATAGGTGATGGTCAGACACTATTACCATATTCACAGAACTGCTGAAAGTCAAAGATGACACGTAAAACATTATTGATCAGATCACAGCGATGCTTCTTCTCCAAGGTTTCTGTCGATTGTGGAAATGCAGCATCAATGTAGGTGAGGTCAGACAAGTAAATCCCTGGAAGAGACAAGGAGCCCAGTGTCAGAGATACCAAACTTGAGGATTCTTTCTGAAATACAAATCTTTTGATGGTTATTAAATTTCACAAAGTGAAGGAAGTTAAACTGTTGCATCACAAATGTTTCCTTAACCAGCATCACTAAAGTATGTTAACTGGGTCATTGACTCTTTGTACGTGGGATCTTGCTGTGCACAAATTGGAAGCTGTCAATCTCAGTTTACAAAGATTATTCTTCTACAAAACTAACTTCATCTTAAGGCGATCCAGAGGTTGTGGAAGACGCTACAGAAATATTTCTTTGTCCTTTCCTTCATTTCACACAGGCAGTATCTGGTCTAGCACAAGTCATCATGTCACTCAGTAAAACTCTTTTGGTCTCTCTGGGAAATATACACTCACTTCAGAAAGGCAGCTCCCCACCAACTGACACCCTCCTTTGATTGGCTGCACATGGGGAGGTGATGGCCCAGTGGTATTGTCGCTGGGTTGTTAATCTAGAGACCCAGGTCCCCAGAGACCAGGGTTCAAATCCTGCCAGGGCAGATGGGTTTTGAATTCAATAAAAATCTGGAATTAGAAGTCTAACGATGACCATCTGGTTCACTAATGTCCTTTAGGGAGGAAAACTGCCCTCCTTACCTGGTCTGGGTCTACACGTGACTCCAGACCCACAGCAATGTGGGTTGATGGGGGATTAAATGCTGGACTAGCCAGTGACACCCTGGATGATTTTTTTAAAAAATCCCACATGGAGCTGGATCCACATTTGAACATATTAATTCGGGAACACACCCCACCCCTCTGAAAGGGCAGGGTGGGGTTACTACACCAACGGTGAGAACTGAATCCTCAACCTGAAAACTACAGAGATCTTTTAAAATTCATTTCTGAGATGTTAGCATTTATTATCCATCCTCATTCGCCCTTGGGAAGATTTTGGTGAACCTGTGTGCAGGTACAGCTTCAATACTTTGTTCTGTAACAGTGGGATAGAACAGGGTGACTTGCTCAGCTGTTTCCGAAAACATTTAAGAGTAAACCACATTGTTGTGTATAGTGATTCACACTGGACAGACCACGAATGGCAGGTTTCTACCAAGACAGGCTCAGTGAATGTAGAGTTCTGAAGAATCTGGCAGTTTCGTTACTATGAATAGGATTAACATTTTATTTCAGGTTTATCCATTCATTTGAAATTTCCCTAGTTTGAACTCCTCTCTCTAGAGCAGTAGTTTTGAGTCTCTAGATCGCTAACGAAGTAATAATGTGCTACCTTACCCCACTGAAGACTGAAACAAAATCAACACCTTGTCTTTGTAATGCTTAAATTTTATAGCCACACAGAGCCACAATTCTATTAAAAAGGAACTTGGAAATATGACAATTCTGAACTTCTTGAAGGTACAAGATCAAAAATGAATTCAGACAGTTTCTGAATCTCCTGTAAAACTCCAGGTCAGAGTGACATAAGCAGGCAGCTCAGCAGTACATCCTTGATCTAAAACGAGAGCAACATTGGGTAAATACTGTGGAAATGTTAAACATTTCCCACCACTTCTCTGGGGGAAAAGTTCCTGATCTGCAAACATTCACCATGGGAGGTTGCAATCAGGTCACCCTGGCTGTCGACCAGTGCCATATCACTTCCTTCCTGTTCCTGCCCAACCTCCCTCCCCCTCTTCTCTGAACATAACCCATCTGCTCAAACTCTAAGCAACGCTCCAGCCTGCTGAGTACTGGGGGAGGTGGGGGCTTGCTGGCCACTGTCAAAGGATTAAATAATTGCATTTATGTAGCACCATTCACAACCTCAAGACATCCCAATATACTGTAATGGCAATGAAGTACTTTAGGAGCTAGTCACCCAACATGATACTAACGGGGACACCCAGATCAGTGATTCCCAACAATATCACCCAGGTAAGTGATGTGAAGGAAGAGATACACATTCCAGTGCCCAACCTGGTCACCTCGAACTGGCTGTTATCAGGGATGGACAATGGGCAGTGCCTCAGCCTGGCCTGGCTGGACACTGCACCCAGAGGCTACTGTACCTGGACAGCAACTGTAAACAGACTCACCCCATCCATCGCCCAATGGTAACAGAGGGTGGGGCAAGTTTGGAGCCAGGGCAGGAACTCAAGTTGGAGTGGGCTGAGAGTGAAAAAGTGTGTCTGTAGGTGTGTGAATGTGTGCGAGATCGTGTGAGTGTGTACGTGTGGGTGTACAAATGTGCTAGCATGAACGAGAGTGTCTACACACAAGTGTATGCGTGCAAGTGAGTAAATAAATGTGTATGAGTGAGCGAGCACAAGGGCGAATGTGTAAAAGTGAGGGTGTGTGAGCAAATACAAGTGTGTATTGTGAACCCTGGACCAAATATGATGCTGGGAAATGGTAGAGAACAGCAATTCTCCACAGTAGGAATAAACTCTTGATATCTCAATTTCAAATTTAAAAGCAAATGGATTATATGGTTAACAATGAAAAACAACTGACATCTATATATTGCCTTTAAAAGGTGATGAAACGTCCCAAGAAGCTTCACAAGAACGTTATAAAACAAGGTACGACACCAAGCTGTGCAAGGAGATATTAGGTCAGGTGACTAAAATCTTGGGCAGATAGGAAGGTCTTACAAGTGTCTGAAAGGAGGAAAGTGACCTAGAGAGGTTTAGAAAGGCAACACCAGAGCTTAATACCCAGTCCAGAGCACCTTGCAGTTACATTATAAAGCAACACATTGAACCGGGATTTTAAACAGAACATTCCTGCCGGTTCCTGGGCAGTTTGAGGCCCTCCTGAAAGCTCACCAACAGCTCTGGAAGCACTCACTATCTGTAAATCCCTCAGTTCAGTAAATAAACCCGAGATAACTGCTTCAAAACAACACAATTTAGTGAGCTACTGTTTAGACATGGAGGCCACTGACCCGAATGTATACTTTAAAATCCACTCTCACATCCATTTTGGTCGTGGTTGACTAATAGTTGCAGATTTGTTTGCAAAGTGAAGTAACCTTACTTGCCCTGTAAATGCCTTTTGCTCTGCCAGTTCCCACTGCTTCCCTCTCCTGAAGGTACTGGCTTACAAAGGGGTAGAGCAAGCGCGCGCACACACACACAGACACAGACACATACACAGACACCCCCCAGCTGGCTTTCAGCTCTGGGAACTCAGGCTAATCTTTCCCGTATCTCAGCCCAGGACAGATCAGGCCAGTTTTAACACATTAGCCCAGTCAGGCTAAAATCTCAGCCCAGAGAATATCGCTCTGGCTCAGCCACTGAAAGAACAGGGGAAGGTCGAAGTCTTGCTTGAGCAGTATTGCACAGTAGTGGATCCTCATTCAGCGACTGTGTGTTGGTGTGACAGTCAGCACCATGCTTTGGATATTTTAAACTGTTTTCTCACTTCCTCAACCACTTGGTGCAAGTAGCCCCTGCTTTAAACAGGGTCAACATTCACTCCAGGAACTGAGACACAAAATCCAGGCCAACATTGGCAGAGGTGTACAGAGGGAGAGCCACACCTGATGGAGTGCCGTACTGGTTTAGGTGTAGACTTTCCATCAAGGTTTCAGGTTAATGAAAAAGGTTTCCATTGCACAATTTAAAACGAATAGCAAAGTTTTTCCCAGAGACCTGGTCAATATTTATCTCTCAATCAACATCACGGAGACATCGTCATCGTCATCATCAGTTTGTGGCAGCTTGCAATAACACAAACTCCCAAGCACTAAAACAGTGAGGTCAGGGGTTTGTTTCCAGGCAGTGAATGGGGAGGGGGGAAATTAAAATAATCAGTCTAGCAGCTGGCACCATGTGCTGTGAAAGAGAAAATCGGGAGAGGGAATGGATTCTGGTCACCTAGTCACTCCATCAACTCCCACATGGGGTGGCGATTATTTTTGAAGTGATGAAGTTGGGTTATTTTGGAGCATTTTATTTACATGACTGTTTTCCTGCCACACCTCCAGCCCCAATTAATTCACTGAAAAAACACACACACGTGCAGCACCTTTAGTTTTAAAGGCAGGAACATAAACAGAAGTTGCTGGAAAAGCTCAACAGGTTTGGCAGCGTCTATGAAGGAAAATCAGAGTTAACGTTTTGGGTTTTATGACCCTTCTACAGAGCATTCCTGATTTACAGCATTTGCAGTTCTTTCGTTTTTATTTACCTTTAGGTTTAAGCTGGTTTCACACAGGATACAGATCTCAACTCATATAGTTCGAGAAATGCCCAGTTTGAATGAAAAAAAAATAAAATCGAGTTGAGAGAAGAGGCTGGGAGATGGTATCATTCCCAAGTCAATGCTGATCAGCAGTTTACTGTGTTTGGGAGGAGCCTCTGTAGCTTTCTGGAGGGTGGTAAAACAACATCAGTTAATCAGTCTGACAGGCTGAACTACTAAAGGGCGGAAAGCCACAAGGAGACCGGCTGCTGATTCAGATAAGTCCATGAGAGAGAGAGCCAGGGCAGTGCTCAACTGTACACACACACACTGCAGCGCAGTGTGGAACGAGTGACAATTGCTCCTCTGACTGAGAAGTCGACGATAACCTTGACCCCGTGAAGATTTTGAACACAAGCTGCTGACCAGGATCACAGAGGGAATAGTGGTTAACTGATCCATCGGAATTAAACGTACAGGAATATGTTTCTCACTGGACAATTCCCTTCTAATCTGAAATTGAGAATGTTAAAAGCAGTCAGATATCCAGCTATTGGTCAGCTAAAGTCTGCTCACAGGTAAGGACTTATTATTACCTTACAACGCTCCAGTGAAGTACATTGTCCTTGTTCATTTAAATTGGACTGCTAAGGTTTTGCAAAGAAAGCGAAATGTGTTTTCTCTGAAGAGTCTACGTACTGTACCGAACCACAGGGAGACAAGACATACCAACATTTCTTAAGAAATCAGACAAGTAAAAACAGATTCTGCTATTCAGGTGGGCTAATGTCCCAATAATCCGGAAATTGTTAATGATTCC